GCCGTTACAAACGGTCTGAATTGATTTAAAATGTAAAGATGCCACTATTCGCCACTTTCACAGGTTCACAATATGTTCAGGTATTACTTGTGCTCTAAATACGAAGAAAATAAAAGATGGCAACATTAGTTTAAGATACGTAAAAGAGAGAAATTACTCTTGAACTCTCGCGTTTACTGCCGCTCACCTTCGCGCCTGTGTCGGCTCGTGTGCCGACTATACACGGTGTAAATATTTTATCAATCTCAGTAGTTAGTAAAACAAGATCTAAAATAAAAACAAACTCAACACTGTAAAGTATGTGGCCACAGCTGTCACCCTTCATGGACATGACCTTGCCGCCCTTCAGCGGCTGGCCCTAGAATAGGTAACAGGTAACAGTCGGCAAAACTTAAACACAAGCCGACCCTATAAATTACTTTCTTCCAACAAAGCTCAACAACTAGCTAACAACCGCCCAATGCGGGGAGACCGTTCTGTCCACCGGTATCTCGAGCTTCCCTACAAACAAAATACAACATAACTTAATTAGAACACTTAATCAAAGTCTGTAAATATTACACAAACCCGTCCTCACATGTTGCAATGTGGTAGTAAAATAAGACGGTACAACTTACCGACAAAATGCCGCTTGACCACGCCACTGTCTGCCTCTTCCGGTGCAAGTGTTGTTGCTTCGGTCACGGAGGAGCCTTCTGTAAAAACGAGAAATCACACTGAAACCTACCCTGTACGGTGTCGGTCTCTTCTTACAGCAGATAATTAGCACAGTAGGGTCAAACAATATTGATGTCCGGACGTCCGTGCCTACATGTATAATGTTTTGAGACAAAGCTCTGCGCAGAGGCAAGTTCTCCGATTCGAAAAAAAACTGAAATATCAAAAGAATCGCGACAATCATGAATGCCGTCGAATCTTAACGATGTAATCTATTAACCATAACTATATTCTTATTCCTATTTGTTTTTTTTGTTCTAATCAGCTGCAAGAGCTAATAATAAGAAGCCGTGGAATTTATCTAGGTACACACTACAGAGATCTGGGGAAAATGGCCATTGTTTTCTGACGTACCGACCGTGGTCCTC